GTAAGGTGAGGAATGGAGGAGATGCGAGATATGCAATAAACGGGTTTTATTTTTGTGTAGAAGGGGGAGGTATCTCTATTGTGCCCTCCGTCATCATCCAGATTGCTCATCCACAGTAAACCGTCTACCCTACCTTATACCTTAAGCCACTCGAGACACGGGAAGGCAAACGGATAGATACATCACAGTACATCTACATGGAAAGAGGGTTTGAAGGGAAAGAGGGATGGGAAGCACGGCACACGACGAGGACGGGGCCTTCTAATGGACCCGGCTGCCACGAGTTGGACGTTGCACCGGCTTACGGAGGGCAACCGTTCGGTCTAGCCACACTAGCTGGAGGGGGGATAGTGCAGTGTGTGCGACTTTGGAGGAGATGTCAGGCTGGCAGGGGTGGGTGTGACGGACGGGGGAGGGAGAGGTGGGAAGAGGCACAGGGAGGGGAAACGTGAACATGAACATGGATATGGAGACCTGGACTGGACAAGGCCATGGGGGGAGGGATGGGATGCAAGTCAGCTGGTCGTGGGGAGACGGAAAGTCGGTAAAGGGTAAAGGGTAAGTAACCTCACTGCATTTGCTGTAACTGTACGTGTAATACACACTTGCCATGCGCAATACACACCGTTCAGTGTTTCAATGCAGTGCAGTGAGTGAGTGATGTAAGTGATCTGCATAAACAGCTCCCCATCATCCCAGCTACAGCTCCAGCACAATTTCTGCCGCAGCAGCGCCAAAACAAACGCACAGTACAGTGCAGTACAGTACCGCTCTTTTGGGGCAGAGGCAGATTGTCCCCTTTTCTGGGGCCCGATTCATTCCCAGATCCCCCGATCACCTGCACGGTACTGGGCGGAGCGGAGGGGAAAGAGGCAGAGGCAGAACAGATCGGTCGAAACGCCTACCGATCACAGTCCTCTTTGGGCGAGGGAAGCGAGATGGAGAGAGGCGAGGTGGACGGATTGGGGGATTGAGTGGGGTTGGGGGGCGTATACGCGTTATGTACAGTATGGGCTGGGAAGGAAAGAGGGATAGTGAGTGATGTATGTGTGCGTTTATGTGTATGTAGGTGATGGATGTGGTGGTGGTGGAGTGGATTGGAGGCTGGCGGGCTGATGCACGGGGGGAGACGGTTCATCCGTTCGTCAGTTTTTGTTCCCTTTCCGTTTTGCGACAACCCCTTGCGGAACGGAGATATGCGAGCGATCCCTTCACCGTACTTTGCGGCGTGTGAATGGAGAGATGGGTGGTGTTTGTGATGCAGGAGGGAACGGAGATATACACGGGACTGTATTGTT